GGTGCAGCAGTAATTAACCGAAGGGGAATACACTGCCATTCTCTAAACAGGACTCAAGCATGGCAATATGCTGGCTTTTTATTTAGTTCTGTGTGCATTTAGGATCAATAACTGAACATTTTCTATCATTAAAGAAGCAGAGGAAAGTTATCAATAAGAGTCATTTCATTGTACCTAAAACCAGCCCAGGACTGGGAATGGCAGAAATGGCTTCAGTAAAGCGCTTGCCTTGCACCACTAGAAACTGAGTTCAAATCCCCACTCCAGTGCTAGAGAGGCTCACATAAGGATCCTTACGCTCGCTAGTCAGTCAGTTTAGCCAAGTCAGGGAATCTTAATGACAAACTTTAACTTCCCATACTTTCACTTAATTAACTGTTTTGAGGGTCACATGTCATTATCATAATCTTAGAATTTGAAATTTTGAGGGAACCTAGAGAAATTATGTCTCCATTTCTAAACTCAGCTCAAACAGACCATTACTCTGAACTTTTGAAATAAGTACAAATGCTATTCAGTATATATATACCAATAGCTACTTTCATACGAGCTAACTTATGAAACATTCCACAGAGACTATCAATAGCTCTATTAATTTCTATTATATGGCAAAGTAGAAATATTAAATTATTATTGCATTGATTACCCGGTCAAAACCTATTTTTTTAATGTTCATGTGTATTTATTTGTGGAGGTTTCTCCAAAAGAATGTAGCCCCACAGAGACCAGAAATTTGTAAACTGCCCAAAATAGGTGCAGTAAATTGTACTTGTGTCCTCTTCAAGAGTATTATGTGTTCTTAACTTCTGAGACATTTCACAAGCTCTCCTAATATTTTATGTCATTTACTAAGTAATAAAAAAAAAACAAGACAAAACAGTAGATGTCAGTATTTCTATTTCAGAGGTAAAGAACCAAAAAGCTAGCGATACTAGAAAATTTACCTCAAATTATACAACCTAAAGTAAGTGGCAAAACCAGCAATGATACTTGTCAGTCAGATACACTCTGTACACACATTATGTGGCCCAATAAAGCCACGACACTTATCAAAGTCACCTACGACTTCTCCTAAAGTAGCTACGAAAGCTAGAATTTTATCTAGTTGCTAAAAAAGTATGTGTCCAACTCACTTGCATGATAAATGGTTAGACACGTGTCTTCGAAAAATATTTACTAGGTTTCTTTGTCTTTCTTATCATCTGCCTATGTATCCTCAATATTTTTGTCTAATATATTTAGTTTGCTGTCCTGCAAGCATATCTGATCATGACCATTGCATAGCTTAACTAGAAGCAAACAAAAGAAAATTTTATAGATGCTAACAAATGTAATGGGGTCAAAGTTAGTTTTATTCGTCTGCTACTTCAGGTCGCTACGCCCCCCCCAAAAGGCAAATTGACAACTCATCTGTACAGCATATATAGCCCTTACATTCTGAGACACCTCTCAGAGAGAAATTCAAACTCCTACTCTGAGTCTAATACTTTTTGCTCTGAAATATAAATCCATATCAAGACGTTCCATTTCTTACTTTTCATATCTTAGTAAAGGCTAGGTTTCTTGAACCCATTTCTACCTTGTACATCTTGTGCACTTCCCTGGGAAAATTTGTAAGGACACCTTTCAATACACATCTTAAGAAAAAAAACCCCACAAACTTGCTTGCATGTGCAATAAGATATGCCAACAATTCTGACTCTGTAATACACACACACACACAAACACACACATATTCTGTGATACAGTGCACTATGTAGTCCAGGCTGGCCTTCAGTTCCTTGGTGGCCAAGAATGAGGATGATCTTGAGCTCCTCATTCTCCTGCCTCTTCTCCCCAGTGGGATTAAAGACATGCAGAGCCATGTCTAGAAATCATACTATTTGCCTCAGGAAGTGAATAAAATATTGCTCAATAACTTAATACACACTTGTAATGTAAGTATGCATAATTTTAAATTGATATTTAGAGGGCTTTTTTTCCACCACATGAGTCTTGGGGATCAAATTCACATCACTGATTTGTAGAGAGTGACTTTACCTCCATCATTTTTGTGCAAGAAAATCAGTTAAGATGAAGTAAGAGAAATTTTTGTACATATAAAATAATAATTATTTTAATAGTTGTATAAGATAATTACTGTAAAACAAATGTAAATATTATATTTTTTCATATTTACATATTTGTTTTACTGCCAAAAATTAAAGTTTTTATTCAAAATGAGTCTCAATCCACAGGTCTCAAACATATTAACTCACTTCCATCCTTCTGTTTCTCATAAAGTATCAATCAATATCTTAAACATTACAAAAACAATAAATATTTTAAAATTACTTTGAACAATATGGTATTTATTAACGTTTTTTCAAAATTTTAGCCAAATTATTTGAAAGAAATCTCCAATATAAAGTATTCATTTTTCACGTTTGAAATAAAAATCAACCAAGTTTCTAAGCAAATGTATTGATAAACCCTGCTACATTTTATGAAGAATAAGCACTTAAAATTGGTGAGATAAAAGGGAAATGTACAAATGATCTGTCCTATTCATAAATATTTTTACCAGTGCAAAGTGCCACACTGAGAAATTTAGGACACCGTAACACGTTGAAGAGCCTATGGCCTGGAATAAGGTTTAAGAAAGTGAACATCAGGCTGTGCTCTTTTGACATGCCCTTTAGGTCAGTGAGATCTCAAAAGAATATTTTCTATTCATGGATAACAACCACCACCACCAACAACAGGAACCCTCTCTTTGGCTGCCACATTTGACCAGATACATACACCAGAATGTGCTCATCATTTGTCTAATAGCATCTGAAACTGAATTCTATTCATGCTCATAGCTAACTAAAGGGATATTTTCAATTCACGCTCATAGTTAACTAAAAGGATATTTTCAAAAGTAAGAAAAAAAATTACAGTTCTCTGAAAAGAAGATAACTAAGAAAATGGACTTGTACTGCTTTTAGCAGAAGCCATAAGGTCAAAAAATTTCATATTGCAATTTGTAATAATAATAATGGAGAAAGATACACAATGGGGATATGTTTACACCGTATCACAAAACTAGCCAGTACAGAATTAACAGTGACCTTTGCTTCCAGGAGAGCAGACATTTCCTTCCACTGCAGGTATACCGGTAAAATGATGCTCCTGTAAATAACTCTCCCACTTCTTACCCATACTCTTGTAAGCAACCCTGATGAAACTTGCTGAAACACACACACACATACACACACATCTATGAAAATAGATGGCAGACTAGTTGGAAAAGGAATGGGTATCAAAAGGAGGGAATTTCTTGAAGATACTAGGTGTCGCTTTGAACATGGTCAAAACTCATTATATACATGTATGAAATGTTATAATGAAACCTATCACTCTACCTAGCAGTGTATCAAAGCAGACACTAAGACTCATAACCAAACCTTCCGCAGAGTACAGGGAATCCTATGAAAGAAGGGGAGTTAGTATGACATGGAAAGGATAAGAGCTCCACAAGGACAAAATATATCTGGGCACAGGGTCCTTTCTGAGACTGACACTCCACCAAGGACCATGTATGGATATAACCTAGAACCTCTGCGCGGATGAAGCCCATGGTAGCTCAGTAACCAACTGGTTTCCCATAGGAAGGGGAACAAGGACTATTTCTAACAGGAACTCAATAGCTGGCTCTTTGACCTCCCCACCCCCAAGGGAGGAGCAGTCCTGCTAGGCCACAGAGAAGGTCTTTGCAGCCAGTCCTGAAGATACCTGATAAAACAGGATCAGGTGAAAGGGGAGGAGGTCCTCCCCAATCAGTGGACTTGGAAAGGGGCAGGGAGGAGATGAGGGAGGGAGGGTGGGATTGGGAGGGAATGAGGGAGCGGGACACGGCTGGGATACAGAGTTAAAAAAATGTAACTAATAATAAAAAAATAAAATAAAAAATAAAAAAAATAGCTAAAAAAGAAATCAGGTGGAATAGGCGCTTTATGCTGAAAATATTTACTAGGGTAATAATAAAAAGTTCCTATAAATAATGCTCCCATTTTAATAGCTACTTTCAGCTGTGTTATAGTTATGAATCACATTACTGTAATATACATGTTCATATACAATAAAAAAAACCCTACAAATCCATGAAAGTAAAAAAATAAAAATAAAACATAAAAAGCCACTCATTCAGATTATGTCAGAGGCAGTCCCTCTTTCCATTACTATGTAACCCACTTGGACACTAAACTGCCATGGGCCACATCTGTGCAGGGGTTCTAGGTTATCTCTATGCATGGTACTTGGTTGGAGCATGCGTCTCTGGGAAGACCCCTGTGTTCAAACTTTCTGGTTCTGTTGCTCTCCTTGTGGAGTTCCAACCCGCTCTTTGATCACCTCCCGCTGAGGGGGGAGCAGCCTTGCCAGGCCACAGAGGATGAAAATGCAGTCACTCCTGATGAGATCTGATAGACTAAGATCGGAGGGAGGGAGAGGAGGACCTCCCCTATCAGTGGACTTGGGGAGGCGCATGCGTGAAGAAGGGAGAGGGAGGTTGGGATTGGGAAGGGAGGAGGAAGAGGCTTATGGGGGGGGATACAAAGTGAATAAAGTGTGATTAATAAAAGTAAAAAAAAAAAATCCAAAAAAAGAAACTCATCATGTTCAGTTATGTACACTGACAAAAATATTTTAATATCCACTTGTGAAAGAACCATATCACTTCAGTTGTAGTGTGTCATCTTTTTCTAATTGTGATAATAAGAGCTTAGCAGCTGTGTTTCAAGAGTGGTGAACCAGGCCCCAAAGATTTAAAAAAAAAAAAAAAGAGGGGGGGCTCCCTCCTTACGTTATACCTTCAGTGTCTTACCAGACACAGCAGTTAATAGCAAAAGCATGATAAACTTTTCGGAGAGGATCATTCTGTCCTTTCATCATCAAAGAAAAAGGTACTAGCAGCTCTCCATCCAACCACAGACATTGACTAACCATCTGGAGCTCTGAAAGGCCAAACGCCCTACCTTGCCTACGTAGAGAGGATCTGAACCCATGTATTCTTCCAGTACGAAGAACTGATTCCAAACCCAGCTGCGTTTGGTCCGGGACCTCCCCGACTGGAAATACGGCTTGGATCGGGACCTTGGCAGCTCCGCTTGACTCGTCCCAGAGAAGCACAGGAAGAGAGCTATAAGCTGTAGAAAATTACACAGCTCCACTCTTCCCAGCTTCATCTTTTTTTTTCTTCCTTTTTCCTGTGTAAGAAAAAAACCTTGACAAGAGAAAAGGCACAGTTCTAGTTGGCTTCGTAGTAGCTCTTGCCTCCGGCAGTGTGTCAGCTGGGAATCCAGAGATAATAATTTGTAGAGTGTTGGACTGGAAGAGGTCACCAAGGCTGAATAGCCGTTGCCAAGAAATGGTGTAATAGGTATCTAGAACAAAGACAAGAGCTCATGTTAAAAATCAGGACATGTAATCATGCTAAGAGTTTAGTTTCTAGCAACCCTGGATTTCCAGAACTAGTATTTGTATAATCACTGAAATATTGGTATGCGTACTTAGAAAATCACAATAGAAGCCACATGTATAAATTACATAATGACTCCTGTTTGCAGAATTATCTTCATTCCACAGTAAAATTTTCGTGTTTCTTCTAGGACATTTCATTTAATCATAAGATTTCTTTAAAAAATGTGGAACATCATTTTATGCCATTAGAGTTAGCTTTTTTATGGATCTTTCAGTCATTTGGGTTTATTGGTATTAGGATGTAAAATCCAAACATTTTTTTTATTATTACAATTTATTCAGTTTATATTCCAGCTGTAGCCCCCTCCCTCTTCCTGTCCCAATCCCACTCTCCCTCCTTCTTCTCCTCCTATTCCCCTCCTTCAGTCCACTGATGGGGAGGACCTCCTCCCCTTCCCTCTGACCCTAGTCTATCAGGTCTCATCAGGACTGGCTGCATTGTCTCCTTCTGTGGCCTCTCACTGAGTTCATGTCAGTGAACTCCCTTTACTAGGGAACCCACTTGGAGGCTGAGCTGCCATGGGCTCATCTGTGCAGGGGTTCTATGTTATCTCCATGTATGATCTTTGGTTGGAATATTGGTATTTGCAAAGACCGTGGGTCCAGATTTTTTGAAAACCAAACATCTCAAAGCAGATAGTTAAGCAAATGGGAAGGATATGTGCTGTTTTAAGTCTTCCAAGCAAAACTGTAAAGAGAAATAAAGAATACAGCAATTCAGAACTAACTGATTGATTGATACTGAGGCAACAGAATGCCAGCTGTTTTGATGTGTTCTGATTTGATTTTGATCATTTGTAAAGCTCAGTGGCTTCCATTTTCTTCTGTTCAAATTATTGTCATTTGCACTGTGTAGCATGGTGGCTATGCTAGTTCATTGTGGTCATTGGCTAGTCCGTGCATCTTTATTAAATGTTTTATAATGTGACATGTGCACTACAGGGCCTTCCTCCATAAGCAGGTACAGAGTTAGCTAATAATGCTCAATAGGTAGGCAAAAATACAACTGCATTTGTGAATCCTATTGACTTTTGGCTTGCAACCAGGTGGTGCATCAGGAACAGCATGGGAAAAATCCTCACTCTTTTCTCTACTTACAGCAGGCACAGAATCCTTATTATACAAGAGATAGAAGATCAAACTCCTAACACACCCCAACACAGAGGCTTATGAATTTACAAGATTCTCATTCAAAGCACTGTGTTGGACTTTGTGAATTCATTTTAGTTTTATAAATAAATCAACAATAGATGAATGGACATTCATCTGTTGTGTTTGTAGAGCTATGTGCTTGAGAGTAGATAAAAATATCAATAACATAAAGTCAAAGGTCCCCTACCTATTAAAGCAGATAAATAATAGAAGTTCTTCAATTTTTCATTTTCAACTATATTTTCTAACTGTCTATATATAGACAGTTAAATTTTTTGGAAAATAGTCTATAAAGCAGAAGAAATGTGAACATTGAATTATCTAAATTTCTTGAGAAGGTAAACCAGTTCACAAAGTGGAAGAAGAAACAAATCCAACTGATCTTTAGCCCTATTAAAATTATAATATACCTTTAGGACATATCTCTATAATGTTTTGGTATCCCAGAGTGGATTCCAGAATAATTAAATATTCAGAAAGTAGTTTATGTTGCTGACCATGAGAATGAAAATAAATGATAGCCTGCAGTGAATTCAAGGTCCGCAAATTCAATAACCAAAGGAAAGGTGAAATAGAGACCAGAAAGGGATAGAGAGGGTGGGTGAATTAAGGTACAAAAACAAATAAATGAAAGCTATTATGAAGCAAAGTAGATTGAAACTACTCTGTGATCTATTATGTGTTTCAAAAACAGTGGCTTAGTATGAATAGTCAAGAAAACACAAGGGTGCAGTGAGAATGGATAAGCAGAGGTAAGGCAGTGTGTGCCCTTCCTGTACCTAGCAAGGGACTGCTTTTCTGAGCCCCAGGAGGGACGCTGTGATCAACATAGTTGGTTGGGAACACAAGAAGTCCAAGTTCCCTGATCTCATATCTTCAGAGAAATGACTTTCTTTAAGCAAGTTATATTACATACATTATGTTATGCCTGAGCGACTCTGTGAAACTGTTTCAGTGTGGAAAAATCTATCCAACTTTTAAAATAAATAAACAGCAAGTTATTTTTGGAATTTAGAGCTTGGGGGGGGTTAGTTCAAACACATATTGGCAAAGAATATGGATGTTTCCATCAGATAAAGATACATAATTCAGTTTGTGATTAAAAACTCTGTGATCTTAGATAAGAAAACTTACAAGAAACTATGTGAGTTCTAATAAAAGTCTCAAGTACTTTAACCTAACTGATGAAAATAATCCCAGTAACAACAACAGTAACAGCATGTCCCTGGTAGGATTAATGCAACACATTGCCAAATGCTGAGGATAGAGCTCGGCCCATGTAAAGGTAAGTAAATATAACCTCTAGAGTTTTATCATGATATTTTTTGTGTGTTTGAAATATCATCAGGAAATCAGAAATTGTTTTTGAACAATTTTTATTTCACTTTTTTATCCCAGTGCTATCAAGAGTTAAGTTCCTTAGCTACCTGTTACTCTAAAGGAAAACATTCTAAAAAGACAGATTTGATGCCAGGGGACAACACATTCCTGAATTAAAAACAGTCACATGGATAAAAGGCTCTAACATACTTGCTGAGTATTAAATCTGAAGTATTAAAAAAGACATTTTTGGTAAACCAAACACCAGATTGAAACTGAAGTTGGTTTATGTTAATTGAGGGTATCCAGTGAAGATGGAGAAGGAGGCCATAATATTAATGGGGGCTAGATCACTGGGGTCATGCTATACAAACTTGGATCTCTCTGGGATTTCATTTTCTAGATGTACAAAATAAAAAGGCTGAAATAAATATCATTACATAATTTGGGGTATTTTTTTCCAAGTCTTACTTTTAGGCTTTTGACAGTAAGAATTCTATTTCCAGCTTTCTTGTAAACCTGTGATAAAAAAAAGCACTATTGATAATAATTATACATAAAAATTTGGGAAGTTTAAGGAGAAATGAAATTGTAAAAGAAACACTTGACCTGCTTGTTACAGTGTGCTCTGGAACAAGCCCTGCTCAATCTACTCTTACTGCCTCTCGAAGATTCTTTCTCATCTACACAAAAACACTGTAGGTTGATCAAAGCAACGAGAACATAGAGAAGAGGGGAGTCGCTGAGCCCATCACTGTTCTTGAGATAATATCGTTGAAGGTAAGATACCTGAGAACTGTGTGCTGTCTCCTTTAAATAAATGGTGGTGAAAATAGCTGGCAGGAGAGTTAATCTCGACACACAGGTTCATGCACTTTAGCTTGGTAGCTGTGGAACCTAGAGCAGGGTAGACATTCAGAAAAGTTTTCAGAGAATGTCTGCACTTATTTTAATATATTTCATTTGTAGTATGGAAAATTAACCACATAACAAGTTAAGGTATGAATTCTTTGGCAACTCTAACATATTAATGAATCTCAAACACTTTGTAAACAATTCTAATGCATTTTTTTTTTGTAGCATTTGAGTTATTTGTTAGACCCTGTACCTGTCCCTATTTTTCTAGGAGGGTTGAAATATCACACCAAGATTCAAGATCAGATGGTGGAATTCTGTCCTGTGATACAGATACATGTGTCTGTAATACCCTTTATAAAATTACTTTGAAAATCAGAAAACAGTATCTACATAATTGTCATCTGAACTTGGTATATTCATGTCATACTCAGCAATACTTATGGCGGTAGCTGGATCTGCTAGAAATATCCACCCTACAGAACAAAAGGAAAGCTGGATTTTTTGTTTGTTTGTTTCCTTTCACGGTCAGCCTGCTCTAAATCTTTGCTTCCTTTGTAAACCAATGTAACTCTCAAGGTAAAATGGATGTATATCAGTTCCACAAACCCACTGTGCTCTGAAGTGGCTCATAATGTATACAAAACAAAACAAAAACAACAGCAACAAAACTTTAACTTTTATTTCCAAAAAGTGAGTAAAAATCACAATCCTGCAATCTTTTTTTGCATATGGATATTAAACAGAAATAGCTGAAACTTGAAATTTCATCAGGCGTTGTGTAATTCTGGCAGTTTTCCTATGTTCTCATGATAGGTATAGTGATGTCACTACTGTTTATGCATGTTAATGATTTTAAGCACAGGACAAATTACGTTTGTTAACATTTCATAGTAAGTCCAATGGTATCCCATAAATATGTGTCCCAGAGCAAGAAAGTTATATTTAGCTTTGGGTTCAACATAGTTCATCATTTTTCCTGCTACCTTCTTTCCTATCTGATGCACATGTTAGCAAAAGGACCTGTGTCAGAATTGTCAGGAAGAAGCAGAGACTGTAGTTTTCATGCTAGAGGCTGAGTACCAAGTCCTTGTGGAATAACTAAATTAGGTACTCAAGTATCTGGGGTTATGAACAACTGACCTCTTTTCTACTAATGGCTCAAAAAAAAGTATAAACAAATGTACTGGTATAAAATGGAGGTAGTTTCAACAGACTGTGGTTATCTTTGGGGTCATTTCAGATGTGGAACATTTTAACTGAGGACAAAAACTGATTCCTTATATCTGAGAAGAGCAAACAAGGGGTCAGGAAAATGTTTACAAGGAGACTGGTGATGGTAAGACTTCACTAACTCTAAACCTGAAAGAAAAATATTTAAAGAAACTTAAAATATCTTTGTTAATACACTTCAAGGTAAAGATTTTTATTTTGTTTGTAATAATTTTACTTTTTCTGAGGTTGTTTATATGAAACGCCACCGTAAGTAG